AGATGTTTTGTAGCAAGGAAGAGAGCGATTATTTCTCCAGTCTAGGTGCGGAGGTCTCTGGGACTACCAACGGATAAGATCCGAGAACGGGACCCCACCCAGAGAACCAGGGATGCCTGAGATGGAGACAGAGATGATGACATGGAGGGATGAAGCGGCTGTGGACTTTGGATCCAGAGAGGGAGAGGAACTGTGGGCCGAAGACTGAGGGGGGAGGGGGGAATGTAGAGCACAGGCTTCTAGGATATGCCCTTTGGTCGGAAGACGGATACATGGAGGGGATTGGAACCATGGCTATGTAATGATATACGATGGAATGAATATGGAACTGAGGTTCTCTCATGTAAACTACCATATAATTCACAATAAAACATTAAAAAAAAAAGAAAGAACTTAGGAGCCTGTGGGCTAGAGTCTTTTCCAGGCCAACAAGTGGATTTCATTTTACATACCAATTCCAATCCAGCGGTAGTGGCTGCTGAAGCCAAGTAAGAAGTATTTTCTGAGGTTATGCCTGGGCTTATTTGGAAAGGGCATTGTGGTCAATTAATGATGTCTACCATGGTCAGGATTTTCTGAGTGGCTCTTAGCCACTCCTCCTGTACTACATGAATAACTCTTCTTCTAGTGCATTGTAAAAAAAAAAAAAAAATCCAGGATACACAATGTTATTTAATTGATAAAACAAATAAGTTGATTTTTCCATTGCCTCTATAAGGGGATAGTTAATTAGTAATACATGGCCCTAGGTTTCCTTATACAGTGATTATCAATGAAGACTCTTAGCTAGTCAGCTAGATTATTGAATCTTGACCTCAAAGAGGGAGTCATACATAATGATGCCATCTAAAAAATTGTAACTCTAAGTTTTTCAAGCCTTCCAAACATGATTAGGTAGGCCTTACATTAGTTATTAGAAAATTATTTGTTCCTGTCAAACCCAGCAGTTTGGTTGTCAGTCCATGTGGTTGTTAGCTGTTGTCCAGTTGGTTTCCATTCAACATATCACAGAATGAAACATTTCCTGTTTCTGCACCATCTTCAGGATTGTTAGTAGGTTTGAGTACATTGTTATAGCGATTGTGTCAGTCCACCTCACTGAGGACTTCCTTCTTTTTGCTGACCCTCTACTTTATCAAACATGATGTCCTGCTCTAGTAATTCCTGATGATGTTACTGTAGAAGCTAGTCAACAGTTCTGGCTGTACAACTTCTAAGATTGGTTTGTTCAATCTTAGGCAGTCCATGGTGAAGCCGACCATGGTATATTCAAACATCTTTTTTCAACACCACAGTTTGAATGCATTAATTCTTCATCTGTCTTTCTTCTCCTTTGTCCAGATTTCACATAAAAAGACATGGCTTGGGTCAGGCACACCTTTGTCATCTTTGCTTTTTGAATCTTTAAGGAGGTCTTTTGCAGCAGATTTGCCTAATGCAGTATGTCTTGACTGCTGCTTGCATGGGTATTGGTTGTTGATCCAGGAGTGAAATCCTTGACAACTTCTGTTTTTCCTCTATTTCTCATGATGTTGTTTATCATATCAGTTGTGAAGATGTTTGTTTTCTTTACATTCAGGGGTGATCCACACCAAAGGCTGCCGTCTTTGGCCTTCATCAGTACATGCTTCAAAACATCTGCATTTTCAGTTGTGCTCAAAAGCAAGGTTGTGGTATCTGCAGATTGCAAATTCTTAATGAGTTCTCTTTCAATCCTGATGCTGTGCCCTTCATCATACAGCCCAGTTTCTCTAACTGTTTGTTCAGCGTGCAAATTGAATAAAGAAGGTGAAAAGATACAACCTTGATGTACACCTTTTTCAGTTTTGAAACATGTCGTAGCCTCTCACTCTGTCCGAAAGACGACCTCTTATCCATGGAGGGACTCTGCGTGAGTACAATTAAGTGTTCTAGAATTCCCATTCTTCATAATGTTCCTCATAACTTGTTATGATCCACATGGTGACATGCCTTACCACAGTTGGTGAAACACAGGTAAACGTCCAAGATCCATCTGGCCAACAATAACGCTATCTCCTATTTCGTGTCCTCTTCTGAACCCAGCTTCAATTTCTGGCAGTTTTTTGTCAATGTATGATTGCAGTCATGTTGGAATTATCGTCAGCTAAATTTTGTTCCCATATGGTACTAATGATATTGCTTGGTAATTTCTGCAGTCTGTTTGCCTTTCTTTTATATCAGGACAGATATAAAGTTCTTTCTGTGGGATGACCAGGTAGCTGTCTTTCAATTACTTGATATAGATAAGTAAGCTCTGCTATGTGACTTTCTCAAACAACTCTTACTGGAGGACAACCCCAATAAATAATTAATCTTCATTCTTGATAACTTGCACACTCTCAGAAAATCTATAGGCATCTGAAGGCCATTGCCACTGCTTTTGATTGTATGTGTTCCCCCCCCGCCCCCGTAGTTGTTGTTAAGTGCTGTTGAGTCAGTTCTGACCCATAGTGACCCTGTATAGGGTTTCCGAGAAACTGCTGGTGAGCTTGAACCACCGACCTGGAAGTTCAAATGGCTTTGCAGTCTGGCACATTAACCCACAGTGCCACACCAGGTCTCCACTGTAGTAGTACTGTGGATGTGCAAGTGCTCAAAACTATTTAGACTTGGCAGGTACTGAGGACTAATCATTACATTGCCTTCCTGGAGAATTCTACTGATTGGCTGATACCTATCTTTGGTTTGGATATGACATAGATAGACAACAGATGTAGTTGCTGTTTTTTCTTTGGTATAAGAAGGGCTGGGGAAAGGCATCTTTCTTCTGTTTTCTTGAGCGTATATTTTTGAAACCAAAATTAAGATATTTGGCCTATAGTGTGGGAAAGAAGTGATATAAATGAGGAAAAATAGGGCTGACAAGGAGAGTAGTCCTTGGGAAGGCAGTGTCTATTTTTTTTTTTCAAACACCTTTATTCAATTTTTTTTATTATAGCTGGTATTATAGTCGGATGTTTTATGCAGTTTATTGAATTATGTAAAATAA